CACTGAGCAAGAACATAATTTATTCAACACTAAGCACTGATCAGAGATTCACTTTGGTTATCCATGCTGAAAAGAAGAGAAACTAAGATATAAAGAGGTGCATGGGCCACACGGTGAACTAAAAGATCTACTCACAGATATGAAAATGTTGAGCAGATTCTCAAGGGTGGGAAGTTGAGGGATGAGTTTTTGCACAACTTTACTGAAGGCCTCAAAGATCGAATGATCATAGATGCTTGTCAAGTAGAAGCTGAAAGAAATAATACATTTTACATCACAAATCCAACATCTGATGATTTCAAAAATGCCACATAATATCTGAGCTGTTATGATACCAACCTTAAGTGTATTCTTTCTAAACCAGCATCGGCTAGATCATCATTGGCTCGTTTGTGTATGTCCCTCTGTTTCTCAATCTTGTGGTCATCTGAAAGGCCGTCCACCTTGTGGATGAAGACCTCGAAGTTGATGTCAGGATTGACCTTGTAGGCTCTAGTCACGGTGAGGTGAAGTCTACTCAATGCCTCCACGTAATCGTCCTGCACAGTAACACATTTGTAGTGTATTTTTAGAAAACAGACAGATAGATAGACAGACAGACAGACAGACAGATAAACAGATAGATAGATAGATAGATAGATAGATATTTCACCTGAGAGTCTATGACAAAGATGAGAGCCCCTGTGCCACGAAATATCATCTCATAGTCGAATGTGGGGTCGAAGAAATCAATCTGACCAGGAAAGTCCCAGATTTGGAAGCTGACAAAGGAACTGTTGGAAACATCCTCTCGACAAATCTTATTAGTGCTCTCCAGAAAGAGAGTCTCGTTGGGTGACATCTTGTGGAATACAACTTTTTGAATGGAAGACTTGCCACTTCGCCTCAGGCCCATGAGCAGGATCCGAGGTTTCACCTCACTGCTGAATGGATCACTGAAGCCCAGCACTGTACAACAGCCAAACACAGAAACACTGCTTGTGAATCATAAATCATCATAAATACATAAGCCACATTTGGTTAATGGTAAACCAAACCCAGGATTCAAACAAAACTGAACCGAGCCCATGAACTGCTAGTGAAATTTATTTTAATACTTTTATTCAGCAAGGCAGAAATTACTGTAAATTGACCAAAAGTGACAGTAAAGACCAAACATTATAACTAAATAAAAGCAGTTTGTTTTTTTAGAACATTCTATTTATCAAAATACATGACCATTTTTATGCATAGTCAGGGCTCCAGACTAACATCTGAGAGCAGTGGCACCAGCACCACTAAGTTCTACAGAAGCAGATTTGGTAGCGCTGGGGGTGTGGGGGTAGTAAAAATGAAGATAATTTAATCATAAAATTATTATCGTTTTGCAATAATAAGTGTGGTTACTAACTAATAATATTATATATAATAAAACATTTATTTCTCGGTAATACACATTTGACAGTAAAGCACTGAGCTTGAGTTGGGAAGCATACAACATTTACTTTTATTAACAACAGTAACATGCGCAAAATCTGATTTTTTTTGTATTCTACTCTTATTAAATGTACCATTATTCTTCTATAAAAGGATTATAAAAGAAGCACTTTTTGCTTGCTTTATGTGTGATTCAAGGCACTTTGTGGCTTTTCTTTCCTCATACACAAAAAAAATGCAAAACTCTGACAAAATTTGATTTCTTGATGATTTGATATTTTATAATAGTGATTTTATCATCTCAAAATATAAAGCAAAAAAAGTGGAAATGAAATGACTAAAAAGCCAATAAGTGCTCCTCTGATGCCATCTACTGGTTACAGTGGTAATTTGATGCCTTTTTTGTTTAATAATTGTTTAAAATGATTGTTTGTGAAGAGCAGGCAAAAGCACGCACATCGATCTCAACTGGGTGCTCGACCAAAAAACAAGTAGAAATATTTTAGATGCAAAGTCGGCAACACCAAAGCTCCAAAAGTATAAAAAATTTTATTTTTTAAAAAGACTGTCGCATAGCATATGTGACGTTTCGAGCACGCAGGCTCTTCATCAGACAAATGAACAACACTGATATCGCAAACTTCATAGGCCTACCTCCAGGTGATCAAAGGTCACATGACCATACAATATTATCGTGATAATAATAATTGTTCATACACTCCCAATTAGACGTGTAGCAAAGTGAAAAGAGAAATGGCATACTCATCCCATCAGTTTGAATCATATTACCAGAATGACTGCAGGAGAGCATGAGTGTGGAGTTGTGGGCATAGCCTACACTGGCATTCCACTCCTTCATATCACATGCTGCAGCTGATTTGATGACTGTGACCTTGCTAGCTCTCAGCTGAGGAATGTCAACTGCATTTGGTGAGACTGAGGGACACTTCTAGTCTCAAAATACAGCCTCAGGAATCCTGCAGTGTTTATTGAAGTGTCCAACCGTGCACCACGTAGTGTGTGTTGAATTGGTAAACAAATTTAAAATCGAGTCAAGAAAAACTTCAGCTGACTGAGCTGACGAACACAGTTTGCATCTAAAGTTGTGTAGAAACAATGAGCTGTAAGCAATGCCTTATAAACCTATAAATCTACCTGCTTTCTAGGAAATCTTGCCATAAGGTGAAGCTTAAAGGTATTATGAAAGTCAAATAGCCAAATAGATCAAAAAAATTTTTTTTGTAAAAGCCACAAATCCATACAGACATATATAATTTAGACGTTCTTTAAATAAACCAACTGAGAAACCAAATGTGTGCACCCTTATTAATAAATCCCTTTTTAATATTTTATAGTATTTCCAAAGTACCATAGTTACTATGGTTTGTTGGTACTTTAAAAACCATAATTGTTTTCAAGTAGCTATATATTATGATATTGGTGGCTAATGCCAAGTTAGCAAAGTTTTACTGTACCATGATTAATATCATGGCGACCATATTTTCCACCAAAACACCTTAGCGTTACTTATAAAAACATAATACATTTTTATGGGTTCTCAATGGTTTATAAAGCTTATAGAATATTTAATTGAATATTTACTTCCATTTATTTATTAATGACATTGGCGGACATCTAATTACAATAGCTTATTAATAAATCCCTCATAAATATTTACCAGAGTTTCCACCAAAAAACTTAAGTTACTTAAATTATTGGCGATACTTTCAAAACCATAATAAATGTATATCGGATCTCACAGTGGAAACTTATATAATTTAATGGAATATTTCTTTATTTATGGCTTTGCTGGCTATCAAGTTACCACAGTTGTGTTGTAGTAACAAATTAACTTTTTAAGAGGGAACCACTGTTACCATGGTAATTGTTTTGTAATGGCTTTATATTTAGCGCTCGTTCAGAAACACGTAAAATATACACGAGCCCTTATTTATGGGTGATAAATGAACACTACCATCTCACCTCCTTCATCAGAGCCGCAGTCTCCGTCCCCGTCAGTGAATGTGTCGAAATCATCATCGTCGTCATAATAATCGAACGACAGCGCTTCGTTTTCTCCGTCCACTTCATTATATTTCCGTTCGCTTGTCATTCTCCGAGTTTGAGAAATTTAATCTGAGGAGGCAGCCAAACTTTTGCACATTGTCACCTGATATGGCCAAGCCATGGTGAACTTTCACCTCCACCTCGCTCTCTGACACACACACAGCAGCCCGCCTGCGTGAGGAATCACAGCACACTGTGACTATTCATCACTATCATCACAGAACGAAGAGCTGCACTGCAGAAGAACTTTGTGAGAGAAGACTAGAGTAGAAGACGCCTCCCTTTCTCTTCCCCAAACAAAGACTATGCATGGACTCCAACGATGGCTGTGGATCTCGGGAGATGTAGTCTTTTCTTCACATAAGGGACACGCTTAGAGAATTTATAATGTATTTATTTATTTAGTGAGCTTATAATAACTTCTTGTTCTATTATATATATATAGGCTATACATATATATATATTCTTATAGCCTATGTGAAATGTAAATAATTTATAATAAGTAAAAGAATAAGTAGGCTATAATAGTAACATAATAGTAACACAATATTTTACTAACACCATAATAATACTGTAATGCAAATAGAATAGATATCCAACAATCAAAATATTAATAATTGACAACAATAATGATAACATTTTGCTTTTATTATTATTATATACAAATTTATTTAGGTGTTATTTAATTATTTAATAAATGTTCTATGACCTTATATGACTCTAAACTAAATATTTTATTTATTTCAAATGTTGATTTCATAGCCAAGGACAGATGGCGCTTTAAGTGCTGTGATGTATCACTCAATAACTATTTATAGAGAATATTAAAGCACGTTTATGAGAGACAAGTGTCATTTTCTCTTAATGTTCACCGCTGCAAAAATTTTATAATATTTTTTGATATTAAGATTAATTCTCTATAGTTTAGCTCTCGTTCTGTTGGGTGCAAACCTACAGTCTCAAACTTTATTATTGTACACTTTGTCCTGATGTTCCAATAGGCCTTACAACCAAATAAGGGAACATTCGATCCATTACCTAATATGGAAATAAAGACAAATGCTTTAGAGAGCTGCACACTCTTCTGATTCCTCAGGGTCATAACTAGTCTGTTGAACTTCAAAGGATTAATTGCCTCTTTTTTTACAGCTAATATTTTGACAAATGCTTAAGTTCCTCTTGTCAGACAGCTTGTAGTTTTTAAGTTTGAAAATCACTTACAGTACAGTTAGGCTATATACAATAAAGAACAGGTATAAAGGTATATAACATTGTAAAATACTATACAGTGACTCCAGTTTGAACTCCAGTCCATCTTCTCTTGATAGCCATCATATTGTGGTCTCACAGGATTTTACCTACTGCGATACCTCTGCTTCCGTACAGACACAAAGCCAGCTCTTTCCTCTGGGACAGCAGGCGGTGAGTGTGGTTAGGTTGTGTAGTACAGATGTTTAGCGTGTGCACTATGTGAACTCTGCCCTTTTACTCTCTCATTCCAGCCACTGATGCTGTGAAACCCATCTGACCCAACAGAAACTCTAAAAAGGTATTTATGAATTTTATCTTTTTTTAATATCTTTGATTACCTTATTATTTGAAATTTAAAAATGTAAAAATTATTATATTACATGAATTTTTCCCAAACATTTTTGTAATGCCCACGATATATGTACACATTAAGTAAACCACATAAACATACACTATATCATATTGCACTGGTACAGTATATTATGCATGGAACATATAGAAATAATTGACTAAACACAGAGATATTTAATTTAGACAATATACTGTTGTTGCTTAATGACAGCCAGGTATTGAGTGATTTCAACAGCCTGCTTTGAATGTGCTAGATTTTGTTTTGTTCTTAGCAGACGCTGCTTCAGTTTAAGCTTTGAGGTCAGCTGATCATATAAAACAAAGATCAGCTTAGAAATGATCCATGAGGCTCGAGCTATAAGCAGAAAGACTGCAATAACAGGAGATTTACATCTGTACTGATTCTAATTTTCATATAAAATAGACTATATACTGTAAAAGGACTACAATATATGCTGAAACAATACATGATTTGCATTGATTTATTAAATATTTCAAATGGAAGCAGAATTAAAATAATCAGAATAGTACAGTATTGAACTATTAAAATGACACAAAATGTTAAGTTGAATATTTATTATTATTATTTTTATCATTGGTATTATAGTGTCTGGAGGGCATTTCCCTGGTTGTGTTCCTTAGATGAGCAGAGACTAACTTCTTGTTAATTATTTTATGATACCTAACATGGATCCTCCCATCTGGCCTTCAAACACTTTTCATTTTCGTGTTATCTTAAAACGAACCTTAATTTCCCTGTGGACGGAGTAATTCATGAATCCACATGATTAATGCAGCCTTGATAACAAACTGCATGAGCAAAACACACTCACCCAGAAATGCTGTATTCTTGTGATTGCATGCAACATTTCCACCCACTTTAAACAACTAAAAAGATGTTGCTTTTACATACTTCATGATGACTTCAGAAGAGATAGATTGATAGTAGAAGAACATGCAGAAGTGCCATGTTGAGAGTTGATTGCTTTATTCTAGGATCTGTGAGAGGTTGAAGACATTGGCATCTCTGTCTCCTTTTCATCCAGACTTAATCTGTTTGTTTTATCGTATAAGATTTGTATTGAATGCAATATCATACTTCCCTCAAACACCTGCTTTATTTTTCTTAGAGGAACAGATTTAGAGAAATTTAGCATTACATCACTTGCTCACCAATGGATACTCTGCAGTGAATGTAAGTGAAAAACAAATGTTGGCAATTCTGTTCAGTATATGATCAAGCAGAGACTTCTGTCAGTATGATTGTGCACTGTAAAAAATGATTGTGATTTTAACTGTAAAAGACTGTAAAAATTCTACAGTAAAAACCTGTTAATTGGTTAACAGTAAGTCTCCATAATGCCGGTATTTTACTGTAAATGTCACAGATTTTTTTTTACAGTGTGGGTGTAGAACAACAAACTACAAAAGTACAGAGGTTGCTTGAGTGCAGCAAAATATTAATATTTCATGAGCTAGACTAAAAGAGGTTATAAGCACCAACTGTTGAGCAGCAAGCAACATTATTATTTCTTTTTCTATTTAACTAGTAAAAGAGACACCAGAGCTCTTCTCCATCTGTCCTACCATGACCCAGCTGTAGCTTTTAGGACTCTCATCTGGGATATCTTGCTAAACCCATGAGATCAAACTCTGCAACTCTTCAACCTTGCTCTTTAGCACATTTGGTCCAGGCTTTTAATGTGTCCATTGTTTAATGCATATTTTTACGCTGTTTTCAGCAATCTCTCTAATGCTTCAATGTTGCTGTATGCAATCAAAATCACTCTTCAGTGAGAGAATGAGATAATCACGTGCTCTTCTCTGAGAAATACTCAAGCCAGTTCAACAAAACGCTGATTCTTGAGACGTGGTACAAAAACCATTTTCATTTTGACATTAATTAGAGAAAGTGTTATTATACACTATTATTACGTTTATTCATATTTTGAATTAGCTTTTATTTTTAGATTTTCAGTTTTCAATTTTATTAATTTAGTTATTTGCTTTTGTCATTTTGTTTTTTAAATTTAGCTTCAATAAGTTTTTATTTCAGTTTAATATTTCAATTTATTTCATTCTAATTTTTCACATACTGTATGTATTCATTTTTATTATTTTATTTTATTTCAGCTTTTCAGTTAACAACATTTTTCAAATAGTTTTTAATTTGAGTAAATGAGTACCTTTTTTATTTTACAATAACAACACTGATCAGAGACCACTAGGATATTTATTTCATCTTATTTAATGTTTATTTTATCAAATATTTAAAATAAAAACTCAGACCATACCTTAATGCAGATTAAAATATATTGAATAAACATAAGAAATATCAAGTCATCATCACTCTCAGATATTTATAAAAATATTACTATAATATTTATACAAATCTAGTCATATCAGAATCAGCCTTTTGATGATTGGTTTGTCAAAGATTTTCAGTTGGACTGCTGTGTTCAATACAATTCAATAAAATTCAATGGAGCTAAACACAATTCAATGGAGCTAAAATCTATTACCATCCTGTAGTCTCAATTAATTTTTTAATTGTAGTTGAATGCTAGATTTGCAATTATTTATTATACATATTTTACATTACCATACACATTATTGTCCTGTGTTGACGCACTAAATTTCAGAAAGTAAAAACGCATTTAGTGGAATAATGGAAATAAACATAATGAAGCTTATGTTTATTTTTTCAATTCTACCACTTGTTTTGTCCTAATTTAACCATTCATTTGGCTTTATAAAAGAGAAGCATATTGCTACACACAAAATTTACAGAGACAGCCCTGAAATCAGAGCAAGAGCTTAAATCACAGAGATCTGATGAGTTTCATTCTTATCCAGAAATATTCTCTCTTGCCCATAGACCTAAAGGAAAGACTACAATGAATCTCTCTGTTCCTGTGCGAGGGATTACCCATGTGACTCTTTTAATGTCAGTAATGCCAGCTGGTCATATGCTCTCGGTCTGTAAGCCCCTGTGTGCGGGATTGTGGCGCATCTGCGTGTGATTTCTTTTATGTGAGCATGCGTGTCTTGTTTTCCACAGGACGGCTGCTATCCAGTTCACCTGGTCTCACATAACAGTCACACGGAGGCAGCGCTCACTCCACAGGGGGCAGACGGCAGCTACAAAGGTGGCCTGGAAGATGTAAACTCATGGTCTATCTCTTTTACTTCTCTTTTTGTGTCTGTGTTGACCATTATTCCCTTGAGAGAATGATAAGAAGGCTTAAGCCAATATTTTTGTGATTTTTGCCAAGGCCACAATTTGCAATCTTCTAGCGCGTTTTAATGTGGCTGATGTATGACCTCTGGTGGCCTTTGCGCTTCGATAGAATATATGGCCACACAACAGTGCTAAATGTTAAATCAAACTGGATGTGTTTTTGTTTTTTCCAGGGTCATCAGACAGCCCTGCACCGGGCAGCTGTTGTGGGAAACCGTGATGCTATCTCTGCCCTCATCCATGGAGGCTGTGCACTTGATCTACAAGACAAGGTCTGTTTATTTGCAATCAATAAATCATCTTTTTGTTTCATCATGAATATTAATAACAGAACTGTTGTAATTTAAACGAATCAATATTCAAGGATCTTGTTAGCTGTAAATAAACCTGTCAGAAGTAAAAATCCTGACTATCGTACATGGGAATTTTGTTTGTTTGTTTGTTTGTGTTAAAATCAATGCTATAGAATCTGATTTTCTTTCATCAGGAAGGAAACACTGCTTTGCATGAGGTATCATGGCATGGCTTCAGTTCATGTGTAAAGCTACTGGTCAAAGCTGGAGCCAATGTCCAAGTGAAGAACAAAGTAAGTCAATATTTTCCATTTACTTTAGGATTAAACCAGATTATCTATTTAAAAAATTTCAATTTTCTTTAGTTTCTTTAGAGACCCCAACAAATATTTTGAAAAGCAAAAATTTCCTTCCTATATTTATGCATTTCATTTTGAACCAAGAAGCCCAAAAGCCATACAATTTAAATTTTATTATTATTTAAAAAAAAAAGTTTTTCATTTAGACAACAAAATGAACTTTTGTATCACAATATATATATATATATATATATATATAAATAAATATACATACATAGACAAAAAAGGGCTTCCTAGCAAAGGACAGCAATCAGCTTTTAGGTTATGGTTTGTTTGGTTACAGCATGATTTGCTATTTGATAGTCAGCTGATAGTATATGGAAGGGAAAATCTCATTCTACAGAATATTTCTGTGTACAAAGAAAAAAAACTTATACGTCCATGTTCATTTTCCAAAACAAAGCAAAAAGAAAAAAAGAAAAATTCTGGAAAGTGGACATGGGTACGTACATTTTTATTAGATTTTTTATTTATTTATTTGTTCACTGTAAGTCTGCATCTTTTTAATGCATTTTCCAGGATTTTTCTTTTTCTTTCTTTTTTTTAATGCATATATCTGCTAAAATTATGTCAGTTTACTGTAGTTAAAACAGCTAACAGACATGGACTAAAACCTGCTAAATCACACCATTTTGAAAACGGGAGACATTCTGTTACATTTAGAAAATCTCTTGTGGTGAATTCTGATGAATGATTATTATGCAATCAGTTTCTATTCTATTATTTAAATTGTATTCATATTTTATTTTTAAAGGCAGGAAACACACCTCTGCATCTAGCATATCAGAATGGACATTCCCAGACCGCTCGAGTTCTATTACAAGGTGGAGCGATGCCTGACAGCAAAAACAATGCAAGTGTACTCTTCTAAAATCATTACAATCTATTTTAAATGATTATATTAATTGCAAAGTGAAAGTAAAAAGTTCAACTTTAAATACTGAAAAAGAACTATTTCTTTCCTTCCAGGCAGGTGACACTTGTTTACACATTGCTGCACGCTACAATCACTTGGCCATGATTAAGATCCTCTTGGGTTCTTTCTGCTCTGTGACTGAGAAAAACCAGGTCAGATCCTCATTCTGATTGTTTTGAATCCAGCACCAATGTGGTTTATTTTTTGTGTCACTGCTGTGTCCTAGTTTCTAAATGATTTTGTCTAAGACTAAGTCAATAGGCAATTATGCTATAAACTGTCAAAAGAAAACAAAACTATATAATTATTTATGGCTTGATAGTGTATTAATTTATACTTCAACAAACCATAAGAAACTGGCACACAATGAAAAATTCAGAGGCAAATGAACAAACAATTAAATGGTCTGCTTTTAACCTCTAGATTGTAGTTTACATTACAGCATCTTCTCCTGTTAATTGCATGTACAATTGCAGCTTTTTTGGTCATAGTCTTGGGGAAAATCAACATATTTTACAGATAGGAGACACTGCGCTCCATGTCGCTGCTGCCCTAAATCACAAGAAAACTGTCAATCTGTTACTGGAAGCTGGAGCTGACGCAAACATCAGAAACAACGTAAGTCATGTAATCTCATAAAATGTTTCAATCTCTTTATGATTGTGTGGTTATTATGAAAGTAAGTTATAATGGGGGTGGGGATGGGGTTATAACAGGGCCGCTCAAATTGAGCTGTAAATTGCTTTGGATGACAGCATCTGCTAAATGACAAATTATTTACACGCTAAATCTATCAACAGACAGGCCACACTGCTCTTGATAAAGCCCGGGACAACAACAACCGAGATTTGGCTATTCTTCTAGCAAAATCCAATCAGGTAAGTAATGTTATTACATTCAAAGATTTTCAATTTAGAACCAGTTCATTGTCCTGTTAGACATGCTCTTTATAGCAAAGCATTATATGATTACTTGATTCACTTCTGACTCAATCAGCTCTACTGAACGAACCGGTTTGATGAATGACTCAGTGACTCACTCATAAAGGCAGTCCCTTAATTTGTTCCTAAATGAACGAATCGGGTTGAATGCTTTAATGGCTCATAAAGGCAGTCCCTTGAGCCATTTCTAAATGATTCAGTGTTTTGGAATTAATTGGTTGACAAATGATTCAAATGACTCACTCATAAACACAGTCACGTGTCATCACCTACTAGTACAACAACGTAACTTGAGCACAGAGTCAATGAAAATTCTCCACACATACTGTAGGGGCTATTCTCACAGAACATGGTTTTCGCATTAAAAAAAGCAAAGCTCAGTGTAATGAACAAAACGCAAGCTCTGGAGAGATATTTTTAAAAAGGTGATCTTCTTTTAGCCTGAGCGCTGCTTTATAAGAACACAGTATCGTGTGCGAGGCGCTGCAGAAGATGCAAGACGTGAGCTAAACGCTCGAACGTTTCCAAATGAAAAAATATGTGTATATATGTATAAAATATGTATATAATAGTGCTACACGGGGGTCTTTATATAGCCATTGGTGCTCATTGGCACATCAAATTATGTAGACCGAATATACTTCCAAGGCACTCACGTGGTAAGATAAAAAGGCTTTAATGAACTGGGCTTAAATCATTACAACTAGTTAAAAGTAGATCTACGCATTTCGGCAAAACAGCCTTCTTCTTCATAACTAGTTGTAATGATTTAATCCCAGTTCATTAAAGGCTTTTTATCTTACCATGTGAGTGCCTTGGAAGTATTTCGTCTACATAATATGAAAAAATATGTTGTTCTGTGCGAACGGAACATAACTGGTTTCAAGGACCAGAACAAACTTCTAAAATATCTGCGGGAAATATTTTTCTTGTGAATATTTTTATTTTGCCAAAATACATGTTTACTTTTGAATGGCTGTCAATGGAAAAAGACGCGTGCCCTCAGATGGTGTAGTTCTTTTTTTTTTTTTTTTTTTTTTTTTTTTTTATGCTTGAAGGGACAAATACACATCACAGACATTCACAACCCTGTTGAAAAAAAAACAGCATATGCAGGTTAGGTATGTTATGAAGCATGGCTGCTGGTTTGAGCTGGTTTGAGCTTGTTTAAG